TTGGCCTCAGGGTGGGTAGAGAGGCAGCTGACAGGTGTGATGGGAGAGACACAGGTAGGTCTGTCCCCCAGAACTCTATGATCTCATTATAGTCACTTGGCTCCTACCTCCAGAAAGCACTTCCTGGTCTCCACTGCATCCCAGAATAAGAATCGGGCATGAGTTCTCCAGAAAGAGCAAAGGAAGCTGGGAAAGCCAGTGTCCAGCATTGTCCACCTCTACCATGGGAGAGCACAGTTCTCATAACCTTCCCAAGGTGGGAGATTCTCCCACCACAAGAAGGGGGTCACTGCCAGGCACAGCCACATACTAATGACTGTTATTTTCAGTTATTTAGTCAGATACTACTAAATAAATAAATAAATAAATAAATAGAGCAAACAAACCCTGTGAACCCAGTGCCTGTTGACTTTCTCCATTCTTGAACAGCCACCCCTGGCCTCTTCCTATTGCATTCCCCCTTCTGGGCCCCAGTTAAGCACACTGGTTTTATTAATCCATGAAATAGAAGTTAAGAGGGAGAGGGGCTGGGCGTAGTCATACTCTCCTTTAGTCCCAGCACTCAGGAGGCAGAGGCCAGCCTGGTCTACAACCCAGAAGGATTACAAGGAGTTCAGGGGTAGCTTGGTCCTCCTAGGCACCTCCTGCATGTCCTTCCCTCAGCCCTTCAGTCCTGGGTGTTTATGGATACAGTTTTACATCCATGTATATCACCCTCCTTAAAAAGAGGGGGACTGGAGAGATAGCATACTGGTTAAGAATGTTCTGTGCTCTAGCAGAGGATCACAGTTTGGTTCCCAGCATCCACGTGGGCTGTCTCAATCACTTTATAACTCCAGCTCCAAAGGACCTAATGCTCTTTTCTGACCTCTGTGAGCTCCTGGACTCATATGCACATGCCTGCATGCAGACAAAACACATACATATACTATTAAAAACAAAATAGTCCATCAAACAGCCTAGTGACTCACACCTGTAACCCCAGGGCTGAGGCAGGATTGTCACAAGGTCTAGACCAACCTAGGCTATTCAGTGAATTTCAGGCCAGCCTAGGCTACAGAGTGAAATTCTGTCTCAAAACACAGTTTCTCAGGGACCCATTTGCATCCAAATCTACCTTCAAACCTGAAGAAATGTTTGGTGCAGCCACCCTACCCAGAGATGTAATTCTCTTGCCTTATTAGAGTAGATGGCAGGATGCCTACTCTGTCCACCACTAGAAGGCGCTCGTGTACTGTCTACCCTAATTCCTGCCGCGGTGGGCTGTGCAGTATGGCCCCTAGGATGACCAGCCTGCGTGCTGATCTGACTTCACACTCTGTGTGTGGGACTCCCCTGAAACGAGGCTAGGGTCCAGCCCAAAGACCATATGTGCATGGGTGTTTTGTCTGCATGCATTTTTTTTTTTTTTGTGCACCACACACATGCAGTGGCCATGGAGACCAGAAGAGGGCATCAGATCCCCTGGGACTGGCTTTAACAACTGTAAGCCAGTGAGTGCTGGATTGAACCAGGGTCCTTTGGAAGAATAGCCAGTGATCTTAGCTACTGAGCCATCTCTCCCCTCAGGGACCTGGCTTTCTAAAGCCAACCCCTTCGTTAGCTGGTAGTTCTCTAAGTAGCCCACAGCCACACGCTCTTCTCATTGTGAGTTAACATGGACCAAAATATATGCCACCCCGTCCCTTGTAGAGTGAGGGTGATCATGGAGCTAGGCATATTCTCTGAACCCCTGCAATAGTCCAGGTACCACAATGTCCTTGGAAACAATCTACAGAGACACAGATAAGCACGTGTCCAAATACCAACTGTAACAAACAAGCTTTTTGTGTGCCTCTTGTTTACAAGCCATCACCTGTGCAAACCCATGGTTCCAGACTCATCCACAGCCTCTTATTTAGGCTCTCAGCCAGTGACTCTCAGTCTACCATGAGACTCTAGCCTTCTCTACCCTGGTCAACTCTTTGCTCTTCTTTCTGCTGGTGGTTAGTTGGCGGTTACTGAAATTGACAGCCCTTCCTCATTCTGTTGAAACAATGTGTGTACACCCTTCACCTTTCTATACCCAAGGGAGAAAGGGGGTCAACTCAGAATAACCAGACCATTAACGAAGACGTGCCTTTGCTAAGCCAACAGTGACATAGACATCCCAGTTGCTCTTTACAATGTGGAGTACAAGTGTGTTTTACAGTATAGAATATGTGAAAGTGTCCCCTCTGTCCTTCTGTCCCCTTGCTTACTGGCTTGAGATATGACTGCTCCCCCAACATATGTTGCCACCATTGCAATACACCACCCTCAGTAGAAGCCAAACCAATACCCCCCACCCAGGACTTTAAACCTCTAAAACCGAACTAAATATTTTTTCTCTAAGTTTGATTACCAGAGCTAGAGACCTGCCTCATTGGTTAAGATTAGCATTTGCCTGCTCTTCCAGAGGACCAGGGTTCAATTCCTACCACCCACATGGCAGCTCACAACTCCCTGTAACTCTGGTTCTAGGGGATCCAATGCCTTCTTCTGGCAGGCATGCCTACTCTACACAGATCTATACACATAAAATAATACAGAAATACATTGTTACCTCAGGGGTTTTGTTGCTGACAATATGATGCTGAGTGGTACAGATGTCTACCCAGATTTATGTCTACAACAGATCCTGCTAAAACACTGGTCACAGCAGTCCTTGGCTGGCCAGCAGTGTGGCAGGACATTTTAAAGTTACTTTGACCTGGGCGGTGGTGGCGCACACCTTTAATCTCAGCACTTGAGAGGCAGAGGGAGGCAGACCTCTGTGAGTTTGAGGCCAGCCTGGTCTATAAGAGCTAGTTTCAAGACAGGCTCCGAAGCTACAGAGAAACACTGTCTTAGAAAAAAAAATACTTTGAAGCCAGGTTTTATGGTGCATGCCTCTAATCCCAGCACCCAAGAGACAGAGACAGGTAGATCTCTGAGTTCAGGCCAGCCTGGTCTACATAATAAGTTCCAGGGCAGCCAGGACTACACAGCGAAATCCTGTTTCCAGGGTGTAAGGAGAGGAATGCTTTGAAGAAACTGAGGCACAAATGCACTGAGGAAAACTGTACAGCCAGCAGACCGTCAATCAGCATTCACGGTGGGCATTCATCCGTAGTCTGGAAGATTCTGTGACTTTGCTGAACTAGAGCTCTAACCACTATGGACTGTGAAACTGGCCCATGGGAAGCAGATCCTTGGTGTGTCCAGGATCCACCCCACCCCCGTGCCCAACTTTCATACTTCCTGCTTGTTAAAACAAAGTCACCTACTAGAGTAATACTTGCTACTTGAGGCTACAAACACGAAGCTCTTAGTCACGAGCAGGTTTTTGTGGAGAGCAGCCAGGGAGAGGCCAGAGATGAGGGCATTCTGCGCTGCTGACTGGACAGGCACAGTGAGGGACTCATTCCATCAAAGGCCTCACGAACCTGCACACCAAAGGGAGTAAATAAGATTGAAGTTCTTCTGTACCTTCCACAGAGTGGCCGTCTGATACAGCAGTTCCACTTTGGGTATGTTCCCAAAGAACTGAAAGCCGAGATTGCCCAGCCCTTTAACCATTTTCAAGCGTATAGTCCTGCAATATTATCTACTAGCACCTTTCTGCAGCAGCTGGCATATTTATGGGGCAGCCACATTTCTAACTGAGAAGCTTAGAGGAAGGAACATAGTCCCACAATGTCTTTCAAGGATGGTCTCCAAGTGACCTGAGGATGTGCCACAAGGTCCTTGCTCTCTTTGAAAAGATTTTGTTTTAGGTCAAGTTCGGAGTTCTCAGTCGATGATAACTTGGCTCTGTTGTTCCCTCCGGGGCAAGGGGGAGGCAGAACATTGTGATAGGGAGCATGAGGAAGATTTGATATGCTCACTTTATGATGGGCAGGGAGCAGGGAAAAAGAGAAAATAAAAGTAGGAATTTGAGCTGACAAGGTGGCTCAGCAGGTAAAGGTGTATACCGTACCTGATACCTGAGTCTGACCCCCAAAACCCATGTGGTGGGAAAGAGCTGACTCCCACAAATTGTTCTCTGACCTCCACTGTGTGGCACGCACATTTGCATTCATGAACTTGCACACGCTAAATAAATAAAGGCAGTAATGCTTTTTAAAAAGACAATGAGGCCAGGTGGTGGTGGCGGTGGTGGCGCACACTTTTAATCCCAGCACTCAGGAGGCAGAGGCAAGCAAATCTCAAAACCAGCCTGGTCCAGGATGGCCAGGACTACACAGAGAAATCCTGTCTCAAGAAACAAAACAAAATAAATAAATAAATACAATGGGAATTTTCACACAAGTTCATAACAACATTATTTAAAACTGCAAGAATATGGAAGCAATACAGTGTCCAGCTGTGGACAGGTGAGTGATATTACAGAGTTATAGTCTGCAGCCTTAGGAAAGGGTGTTCTACCACATACCGTCACACAGATGAACCCAGGGACGTCACACCGAATGACATGAAGCCTTGACAAAAGGACCCAGAGAAGTCAAACAGAGAAAGCAGAATGGGAGTTGCCAGGGGATGGGGAAGGAGGAAGAATTACCGCAATGGACCTGGAGTTTCAGTTTGGAAAGGTGGAAAATTCTGGAGAGTTCTGGAGATGACTCACAGTGAATGTTCTAGGAGCCACACAACTGTGTTTGCAAATTGTTGAGGGAATGGTGGTTTATACAATACTAGCTAGCCCTCAAGAGGCTGAGGCTAGAAGACTTTGAATTTCAGGCTAGCCTGGTCTATATGGTGAGACCCTGCCTCAAAAAAAAAAAAAGAAAAGAAAAAAATAATAAATTTCATTAGATATATTTTATGACAGCGTGTGGGGGGAAAGCCAGTAGTAGTGTTAAAACTATGTCAATTTGGTGAAGAAACCAGGGCACAGGAAACACGTGACCCCTGGGAGAGTCTAACGTTTAACGGGTAGAAACTTAACACACATACCACATACCAGCACCTGAGCCCAGCAAGGTAAGTCACAGCCTCTGGCTTCTCCCACTTCCCCTTCAACGAGCAGGCAGCATGGAACCTTTGGCCTCTTAAGTGTCAGGCCTGAATTCTGATCTCTTCCTCTCTCCAGGCCTCGGCTCCCCCACCCTGGTAAGCACAGTGGTTGTGGGGGGGGATCCCCAGAGGGAGTACCTCCTTCAATGCTTCTGAAGCTCTTGTTTTCTTTGTCTCCAAACCCCAACCCTGGCCCCGCCTTAGTGACTGTTTCCTGTTTTTTGCTTTCTTCCTCTCCTTCCCCCCTCTGGGTGACATCCATGTAGGTGACAGATTTAGAAACATAGCCCTGGCTGGCCTGGAACTCCCAGAGCTTCGCCTGATTCTATTTCCCGAGTGTTGGGATTAAAGTCATGGGCCACCATACCCAACAGGACCACCGCTGCATTCTTAGTCCCAGGTCCACAGGGGCTGAGACCTGGAAAGGGTCTATTTGTTCTATTTGTTCCCTCCCTTTCTTTCTCTCTCTCTCTCTCTCTCTCTCTCTCTCTCTCTCTCTCTCTCCCTCTCCCTCTCTCTCCCCCTCTCTCTCTCTACCGGCTGGCCTCCAATTCAGAGACATCCGCCTATCTCTGCCTCCTGGGCACCACCACCGCCATCCAGTCCCCATCTTTCAAGTGAGCACGTGGTTTGGTTCTTGTCCTGAGAACCATGTCAGTCCGTAGCAGGAAACATCAATGTTACCACCCACATTCCCACTAAGCCTCCTCTTCCTTGTAGACATTCACAAATTTCCCTTTCCCCTTGGTATTCTTTCTGTAAAACTGGACATATAATGTGTGAGAAGGTGTCTGTCACCACAGTGCACAGCAATGTAATGGCTGTGGGTGAAACTGTCACTAACGCTTTCATGGACTTAGCTCCTCAGAGCTCACTCTTCTCACCCACTTGCTAGAACTTTGTCTTAGTTTCTTCTCTGAAGTATTCAGTCACACAAACAAGCTTATTTTTATTTCGTGAGATGGTTACATGGCACCTAGGATTCCAGAGACCTTAAAACATCAACTCACTTAAGCCAGAAGTGGTGGCATCTGCCTGAAATCTTAGTGCTTAGGTGATGAAGAAGGATCAGGAGTTCAAGGCTAGCCTCAGCTCTATTTCGAATTTGTGGTCAGCCTGGACTACCGAAGACTCTGTCTTGAGAGGAAAAAAATTAATTCATTTAATTCACACAAGGAGTCTACAAAGCACACATGACAGCTCACAACTGGTCTGTAACTCCATTTCCAGGAGACCTGACACCCATGGCAAAACATCAATGCACATAACATTAAAAAAAAAAGTAAATAAATAAATAAATAAAAAGCCGGGTGGTGGTGGCGCACACCTTTAATTCCAGCACTCAGGAGGCAGAGGCAGGCAGATCTCTGTGAGTTTGAGGCCAGCCTGGTCTACAAGAGCTAGTTCCAGGACAGGCTCCAAAGCCACAGAGAAACCCTGTCTTGAAAAACCAAAAAAAAAAAAAGTCTATGAAGGAGATGTTAGCATGAATCCCATCTTACAGACCAGGGAGTGGAAGCAGAAAGAGATTGGATGATTTGCCTAAAGTCACACAAGGCAGTCTTGGCACAAAAGGTCTTCCGGGGTTGTACATATCTAAGAGAAGAATTGTGCACCAGGGGAGGAAGCTACTTAGCTCGGGCCTGGAAAGATGGCTCAGTGGCTAAGAGTGCTTGCTGCTTTGCAGAAGATGGGAGTTCCGTTCCCAGCACTCGGATGGTGGCTCACAACCTCCTTAACTCTAGGACATCCACCACCGTCTTCCGGTCACAGACACATAAAAATACAAATAAAATAAGTCTGTTTTTATTCAGCTTTACAAGATAATATTTGCTGTTCCCCAGGAAACCAATGCACTCTCCCATTAGTAACTGTAAAGGTTATTATTGACCCTAGAACTTCTCCAAAAATTGACCTTTAGACTTCTTATCCTCTGCCAACTTGGTCGATGTGGTTTTCATCTTAATTTACTGTTGAGTTAACAGTAATGTCCTCTTTCCTTTGACGTTGCTTTGTGCACTCAGTTATCAATGATTTAATTTATTTATTTTTTCAGTGCTGGGAATGGAACCCAGGACCTGTATGTGCCAGGGAAGCCCTCTACCCAATGACCCACAGCCCTAGCCTCTATTGTTTATGATTGACAGTTGAAGTCTTACCTAATACCTTACTCCAATGACAACACTCTCCTATATTTTGTCAGTGTTTCCAAAGTTTCCCTTCACACGTAAGTATTCACTGTGAATGGAATTGAGTTCTCCAGTTGATGTGATGTGGAGATACCGCTCCCCTCCCTGTCTGGTTGATCAGTTGGTCCAGCCTCACACGGTAGACCTTTCTTTCACCCAGCCATCTGCAGTGTCGCCATTGTCATGTGTTAGGTCTGTGTCTAGGTTCTAGAAACTAGGACCCACTAACCAATCTCCCTACCCCCATATTAATCTTTTGTATTAAATCTCAGTATTCCAAGAACAAATTGCTTGTCTTATTCTCCCCATGTGTCTGGATTGTCTTATCCTTCCCATGTGCCTGGGTCATCTTATTCTTCCCACAAACACTTTCAAGTTCCATCATTATTGGGATTAACTTGGATTTCATTGACTCTGCAAATCAGTTGGAAAAGAAGTTATCTTTCTTTCCCTATTTTATTACATTGCCACAGCACACCTACAGAGGTCAGAGGTCAGAGCACAGCTTGTGGGGGTCAGTTCTCTCTGTCCACCACATGGGTCCCTGGGGTCACAACCAGGTCATCAGGCTTGGTGACAAGAGCTTATACCTTCTGAGTGAGCAGTCTCAGCAGCCCCCACTCAGATTTTTTATTTCTTCTCAAATTAAGACTGAAAAGTTAATTTTTCTGAGATTTAGTTTACTTTGTTCCATATTTTGTGGCATACATTATCTTATAGTCTCCTTTATTTTTTATTGTTGGGTAAGAAGGTGGAGAGTAGCCCAGATTGCCTTCAAAATCACCATCCAGCTGTCTCAGGGTCTAAGTGATGCCAGCTCACCTGGCTTTTGTTTGCTTATTTTTTGAGACAGGGTTTCTTTGTGTGGCCCTGGCTGTCCTGGAACTCACTCTTGTAGATCCCAGGCTTGAACTCAGAGATCTGCCTACCTCTGCCTCCCAAATGCTGGGATTAAAGACATGGGTTACCACCACCCAGCTTATTTCCTTTTTTAAATTGTGGTACTATACATACAAAATGTGCTATGTAGCCATTGTTTATTTATTTTCCACCAGGTGCGTTTACATTGTTCTGAGATTAATCTTCGGAACCAATCTTACAAAATGAAACTACCCATAGGAAAACTCCCACTTCCCTTCCCAGCCCCTGGCAGCCTCCCCTCTCCTTTCTGTTGTGTGAGCCCTTTTTATAACCCTGCTGTGTTTCCATGGTTGTTCTGGTAATGGCTGTTTGCTTTCTTTTTGAGCCTTGTCCGGAAGTTTCCTCTGGCCTGCTGCCTGGCATGTCCCTCCCAAGGGTCTCCAGGGAATCTGACCCTCACAATGGCTTCCTTTGCCCCTGCTCTGGTGGGCTTCATCAGCTACCCACGGCTGCCTGTCACTCATAGGGCTTTACTCTCTCCTAGGTATGTGACCTTGATCAAGCCATTTAGCCTCTCTGTGCCTCAGTTTCTCCTTCTAGGAGATGAGAAGTAGAAGTACTCGAGCTTGTAGAGTTTAGGAGTAATTAGTTAATAATTATAGAGCTTTGACAGTGACCAGCATGAAGTGGGTACAGCTGCATGCCTCAAGACATTTCAATCAGTGACAAGCCACGTGTCCAACAGGGGTCCCAGAAAATTACACTGAAGCTGGAAAAGATTTATACCACCTAGAGACACCATAGCCATCCTAACACTGTAACTCAAAGCATTGCTCCCAGACCCCCGGTGACATTAGTGCCAACCTACGGTACTGCAGTTGTATTCAAGTATAGCATGCACAGCCATGGACACGCAGTATGTAGTCTCCTGTACCATCTAGGCGTGTGTGGACACACTACGATGCTCACACACCCGCACATTGCCTGATGACGAACTTCTCTGAACTTGAACTACAAAGTGAGCTCAAGGCCAGGATGGACCCCTTAGTGAGGCCCTGTCTCATAATGAAAAGCACAAAGAGAGCCTAGGGGTGCAGGTCTGAGCACTCGCCTAGCATGTAGGAAGCCGCGACATCTCAGTCACCAGCACCCCCAAAATGAAAAAGGACTTGTTCCCTCCCTATATGTAGTGTCTGTGTTGCTGTATATTATTATTATTATATTATTATTATTATTACCCACAGGAGGTCAGTCCCCACTTATCACCCAGACCTTTCAGCTGTCCTGTCTCCTGTTCTCCGAACTCTGTCACCGTCATGTGAGATCAGAGCCCCCCCCCAACCCCACTCCACTTCTCCCCACTTCTCTCTGCTTACTCCATCTTCCCCTGCCTTCTGGCATGATTCCAAAGCTCAGCCGCCTCCCACAGGAACTTCCCTGGTTCCAGCTGTCAACATCAGCACTGGATAGCCGTTCACAGCACTGTGAGAATGGCAGGATGCCACAGTACTCTCCAGCCCAGGCACCCAGGTCACTGTTTGAGCCATCGAAGCTTCCTTTGCTTGATATCTGGAGGCTGCAATGATCTGGGAACTAGCCTTGCAGGTGGCTACTTGACCTCAGATAATGAGCCCCCCAAACCCTGGGACTCCTTTCAGATAGGCCCTTTCTGGGATTCCACCAAGACATCAAGGGGGCCTGCTTTTGCCCCACCTGTCCCCGAGGATCTAAGGACTGAGAGAGCAAGGTTGGTTGTATGGGGAACACAACATCGCCTAGGAAGGCCTTCTCTCTCATAAAAACTCACTGCCTGTGGGAAGAGCCTGCCTGGAAAGCATTAGGTTCTAGCTTTGCTAGACCAAAGCCCTGCTTGGATGGTAGATGGGCAAGAAGGTACCGGCTAACAAACCCGGAAAAGGGCCTAGGATTTGGAAATAGGCTGTAGTCAGTCTGTTCCCTGACCTCCTAGACCTGGGCCACTGCAGACCACTGTGGGCTGCCCTTCTGCAATCTCTAAGCCTCATGTGGGTCCTGCATTGGCCGAGTTAGGGCTAGGCTTCTCCTGGAAGCTAAGCAAGACATTAAGGTGTGCAGACATATGCAGGGCATTAGCCGGAGATGGCTGTGTGGCTGTGTTCTTCTAACTCTGGATATTCTCTTACCAGAGAGGACTGCAACAGAGGCCCAGTGGGATTCAGAGTTCCCCAGATCTGAGTCGTGGAGGCCTCATTCTGCCCCACACACAGACAGAAGTTTCACATATGCACACACACATACACACATGTAAGGGCGTGCACACATGCTCTTGCACCACACCCACTTCCCTGAATATGAGCTTCCCTTGCTCTCCTAACCCTACACAGGGAGCAAGCCACATGGGAGGGCCGTGTTACACCCCTGCTTATCAACTGCCTCCTGGCTTCCTCTGCCTGAATTCTTGAGGGCCTGAAGGCTTGGGAGCTGTCCTGTGCATAGACTTCCTGATCTCAGATGAGAGGAAATGAGATCACTTGTGTAGAGAAAACTACGGGTTTCAGTCCCAAGCTCCAGCCTTCACTCCCCAATCTGTGGTGTCCATCTCTCTGTCTCTCTCCAGGCAGCCAGCAGCTGAGCCCCTGGAGCCGATAGACCCCACCTGAGATGTCTTCTTTTGCTTGCCGGAGCCTCCCTGTAACCCTTCTTACCCTTCTCTGCTGCTCAGGTAAGCGGTCCCCAGGGTTCCCAGCACATGGCATATTAGAGTAGGGAGTTCCGCACTATTCCTTGGGCTTCAGGTTGGGGAGCATCCTGGCTACAGGGACCTCTCCACCATGGATCCAGAAGACTGTGACAGCCTGGCTTGGGTTGCCATTGGCCTCAGGCAGTGGCTAGGATCATGGCCTCTTGGTTACTGGATGGAGCAAGCCTAGGGCTCTGAGAATGCTGATGCGACAGGCTGCCAAGGTTGCGTGGCGAGCAGTAAGTGGGTAAGAAGGGGTGCCAGGGTCTAAGCGAAGAGATTGTGCCAAAGGGGCCCAGTGAACAGCAGAGGGCAGCAGGGGACGCTGTGCTCACTGGGACAGCAAAATGAAAATGAAACTTTTTTCAGTGGGTCAAGGAGATCTCTAAGGACACTGCCACTACGTGCTGAGTGCCTTGTGCCTGAGTCAACCTGCCAAGTTCTTGCAAGCTTGCTTGCACTCACAACCCAGGGGAAGGCACATTAGCCCTCTTAAGGGCTGAAGAAACTGGGGCTCAGAGAGAGGACGCATCTAACCCTAGGCTGCCCAGATAGTACATTGGTAGATGTTGAGTTCAAACCCAGCCCTGTCTACATGGAAAGCCCCTCTTTTGCCAGTTATTTACATACCGCCAGCTGATGGCCGAGTGGGCTGTGGGAGGTAGAGAACACAGGCCATGTATAGGGGCCCTGCTGGCTGGGACCTAGGACCTTCATGGTCCTCACAGAGTGGCGGTGAGCACGGAGGGTCCCATCTTTGTATACCAGATACTTTCCAAGTATCTGTCGTGCACTGGGCTGTGTGGTCAGCATAAAGCATAAACAGGCAAAACTCAGACCCAGCCTTCTAGAAGCTTCAAAATGTTTACAGAGCATCAACATAAGTTATGAGCCGTGAGTACAGCAGCTCCTTCTCATGGTAGCCTGTTGCTTCTCTGGCCTTGTCTCTAACATTCCTCTTCCTAGCTAAGCTCCTGCCCTTCTGGCTGTCCATTGCTTCGGGAGAGCCAGCTCCCATGGGCAGGTCTGGGAGCGGGCAGGTCTGGGAGCCCGCAGTTCCCAGTATCTGGAACTTGCTCCCACAGCACATGCAAGGCTCACAGCCTCCTTCCCCATTTGCCCCAATGTCATTATCATTATCTTTTCTTCACCATGTTATTAAAAGTGGAGTCCCTCTGGACAGTGATGGCGAACTCTCAGAGATGAATCCCAGTACTCGGGAGACAGGAACAGGTTAGTCTCTGAGAGCTCGAGGCCAGCCTGGTCTACAAAGTGAGTTCCGGACAGCCAGGACTGTTACACAGAGATACCCTGTCTCAGAAAAAAAAAAAAAGAGAGAGAGAGAGAGAGAGAGAGAGTTCCTCCACCACCTGCCCCATGCCTTTCCCTGGAGCTCACCGCTACCCAAAGGACATCCTGGCAATTCTCCGTGTTTCTGTGAGTTCAGAGCTTACCTCCATTCTCAGAGGTGTCTTCATGACAGAGAGAACTTTGAACTTTGAACTTTGAAAGGCAGCGATAGAGAGGCCCCAGGAAGACTGACCTAGTGCCGATGGACAGAGGGACTGGAGGAGAGAACACAGGAAGTCACTGAGTGGTAGCCTCTGCGGGTCTGATGGGGGATGGTGCGGAGTAACAGAGAACTCTGAGGGCAGGCATCGGAGACATCTGCTGCCTGGGGCTTTTGCTCTTCCAGGGTCTGGTGAGCAGGCATTCGAGGTCCACGTATCGTCCGAGAAGCAGATAGTAGAAGTCGCAGGCTCTTTGAAAGTCAACTGCAGCACGAGCTGTGAGAATCCGCAAGTGGGTGGCCTGGAGACCACCCTGAGTAAGAAAGTGTTGGAAGAGCACCCTCAAGGGAAGTGGAAACAGTTCTTAGTCTTAAACGTCTCCCAAGACACGCGCCTCCTCTGCCACTTCACCTGTGCGGAGAAACAGCATTCAGAGCATCTCAACGTCAGAGTATACAGTGAGTGTCCATGCCTGGGTCTCCACTGCTCAGGTAGGGCCCACGTCCACTCTACACTCCCACATCTGCTCAGTGGCTGCTCCTGGGCTTCCCATCATGGTCCTCATCTCCTCCGGGCTCTTGAACCACAAGCAGGTCAGGTCTGTGGGCTCAGGATCTGCTTACACCCTTGGTTGGGCTCCACAAATACTCCTATACCTCAGAAGCAGACCGCGCAGGTTTTGAATCTTTCTCCAAGAATGTCAGTCTTTTGAAAGTCAGTTCCTACCCCGGTTCTGTCGCCAGAACACTCCATAAGCATCACAAGCAGTGGGGAACCAGGGAAGCATCGTGGGATGGAGGCGCTACTAGAGAATACCAGGAAAGTGGGAGAAAGTCGAGCATTTCATCATCCCCCCCCGGGACCCGTGGCAAACGTGTGAGCCTTGTGTCCACGCCTGCCAGGATGAGTCAGGAGCGGCTCAATCTTAGCTCCAGGTGTTTCCCTGCTACCGGTTAACAACATTGATGGATCAAAAGCTGGAAAGATGTTCTGAGTCCTAGGTGGGGTGAGGATGGGTGTAGTAGTTTAAGCGGAAACCAGGGTACCGCTGTAGTCCTTACTCAGTGGATCCGCAATGACACTGGTCACGAAACCAGCTGGAGAAGTGAGGCAAATGCGACTTCTGCCCGGGCTTCAGGAAGAGGCTCACAGTCAGCTCCTCAAGGGTCCACACATAGAGGAGCCCCCTTCCTGTCTCCCAGGACAACCACCCAGCTGTTTAATCCAAAAAATTTGTGTTTGTTCTCTGGAGGAGATGGAGACAGGCCTAGATGTTTTTGTATATCCTTCTAGCCGGCTCTGCCATCTGGATCTCCTCTCTGTAGACCCCTTCTCTGTTTTCCAAATTCTGATCACAGAACTATCACCCGGATCATCCTCCACCACGCCCTTCTTCCTCCTCTTTCTTCTTCCAATGAGTAGGCCAATGCCCAGCCCACTTTCTCTCTCTCAAGTCCAGCTAGGGACCTGGGATACCAGGAGATGGGCCCTGACCAGGTTGGGCCTGCAGGGCTACAGTTCCATCCTGAGTGGTCTTCCTCCTTTGTCCCCTACAGAGCCTCCGACTCAGGTCACACTGAAGCTGCAGCCCTCGCAGGTGTCTGTGGGAGGAGCCTTCACCGTTGAGTGTACGGCAGAAGCTGTGAAACCCCTTGAGAGCCTCACCCTCAGCCTGCTCCATAACGGAGAGATCCTGCAGAACCAGACCTTTGGGGGAGCTGAAAGTAACGCCACAGCCATATTCAACAGGACAGCTCGAACAAACGATTGCCTCAACCTCTCCTGCCAGGCTGAGCTGGACCTGCGGCCCCATGGTGGGCACATCATCCGCAATACCTCAAAGTGCCAGATCCTCAAAGTCATCGGTAAGGAGGTACTGGGCCCAGAGGGGCAGAGATGGCATCCCTCTTGGCACCGTGGGGAAAGAAAAACCCACAAGCCCCACTCCTAGGTAGCTTGATGTGTATGTAGAATCCTGAGGGCTCCCTCTTACTTCCTGATTGACTGGGTCTTTCTCCAAGCTCCAAGCTGAACCCAAACTTTTCCAGAAGCCAGGAGAGCTCAACTAGTGGCTGGGCCATTATTGAGCTGTGTTGCCTTGACCGTGGTAGTGAGTTCTCTCTAGCTATGGCCCCTTTCTACAGTGCGAAGGCTTGCTGGCCTGACCCACAGCTTCCCCGGAGCACTGCTGGTCTGGGACTCTTGGTGGCCAAAGGCTGTTGTAAATGAGCTTGCCTGAAGCCCACTCAGCTCTGCCTGACGAGGGACATGGTATAAACCTGACCATGACATCCTCCAGGCCCTGGCATTGTTGTTGGGTTTTTTTTTCTCTTTTGTCTTTGGGGGTCCACCACCCAGCTCCCAGAGAGCATTCTTTGAATGCCCGGTCTTAGCTTGGCTTATTTCTAGTCAGCTTTTCTTAACTTAAATTATCTTGTCTACCTTTTGCCCCTGGACTTTTATCTTTTTCTATTTCTATATATCTTTTATTTTTGTTGTTGTTGTTGTTGTTGTTGTTGTTTTGTTTTTCGAGACAGGGTTTCTCTGTGTAGCTTTGGAGCTTTTCTGGAACAAGTTCTGTAGACCAGACTGGCGTCAAGCTCACAAGAGATCTGCCTGCCTCTGCCTCCTGAGTGCTGGGATTAAAGGCGTGTGCTATCACCGCCCAGCTTTTCCTTTCCTTCTTATTCTGTGTCTGGCTGTGTGACTGGGTGGCTAATCCCCTGCACCCTCCTCTCCTCCTTCTTCTCCTTCTGTTTACTCTCTCTATTTTGCTAACCCTGCCTGTCCTTTCTCCTGCTTAGCTATTGGCCATTCAGTTCTTTATTAGACCAATCAGGTGTTTTAGGTAGGCAAAATAACATAGCTTCACAGTTAAACAAATGCAACAGAAAAGAATGCAACACATATTTGCATCATTAAACAAATGTTCCATAGTGTAAACAAATGTAACACATCTTTAACTAATATTCCACAATACCCTGGTGTCCAGGCTCTACATACTGGTCTCAGGAGCTGCTGAAGAGGGGTAGCTGCTCTGCCTGATATAGCCTGGAGTGCAGACCACCTTTCTCTTCTATGTCACACGGGCGGCAGACACCTTATGCCACTTCTCTCTGCTACCAGGCTGGCTGTGGAATGCATGAGTGGCCAAGGAGTGATGGGTGGACTCCCTGGGGTGCCTGGCACCTGAAAATCTCTAAATACATTGCCTCTTCCCTCCCCAGAGCCTCCGACTGTTTGGCTGATCATCATCATAGTGATGTCAACACTGTTATTTGTGACATCTGTCCTACTCTGCTTTATCCTCGGCCATCACTGGAACAGGAAGCGGACGGGCACCTATGGGGTGCTGGCTGCCTGGATGAGACTACCCCGAGCCTTTCGGCAACGACCTGGGTGAGCCGATGTTCCCAGGCCTCTGGTGGCTGCTGGAACTCAACATGGCGCCTTCATGTATGGTCCAGCACTGACTGAAGGACTCTGGCAATGGCACAAGACACTGGGGACATTTCCCTTTTTTTAACCTCAATACAAATACCTGGATTTCACCCTGTGCCCTCCATGTCTGCTCCTGGGATAACAGACAGCACCTGTGACAAGGAAGGTACTAACTGTGACCTGCTCACCCCGTTGTCTCCTCCGCCCTTCCCATCTCCCTGCTCTTCCCTCTGCAGCCCAGGCCCCAGACATCTACCCACACCATTAGCAACTGATTTCCTACTGAGATCCCGTGAGGGGGAGGAATTTCTGTATGCACATGGCCCTGGGGACCTCAGGCTGTTTCTGGTTGAATCAGGACTCGGCTCTGGCTCTCCTTCTGCCAAGAGAATCCAGTGAAAGGAGGCCCGTGGAAGCCGAGTCCGCCGCAGGGACCTCCTGAGCCGGCCTTCTTCCCCAACCATGCTGCCTTCCAGGGGCTTTAAGGCATTTGGAGACACGAGCCATCCTCTTCTCTCGTGCGCTATTTCAGGCCCAAGGGTGACTCCACAGAGAGGAGAGAGGGGCAAAGACCAGCTGGGGCTCTGGTATCAGGGCCTTGCTCTGGTCCAGGCAGGGAACAGGATCAATTGGGTTTACGTGGCTTCTGGGTCAGGGTGGAGTTTTACGGAGCTTTCACTCCAGAACAGGCAGTGGAGTGGAGAGCCTGCCGCCCCAGGGTAGGCGGCTTGACTGGGGCGGGGTGGGTAGAGTCCAGCATGCTGGCAGCCCTGTGCTGAAGCGGGTGAGGCCTGATGAGGATCCGTCTTCATGGCAGGCTCTCAGCATCATAGTACTCTAGGGAGATAGAACCCGCAGCTTGCTCCTTCCTGCCTTGGTGGACCCCCAAGGAGGAGCATAGAATGGGATGAGGCAGCGGTTGGCAGGAGCCCCCATCCACAAGGGCACATGGTCCTTTTGACATCTCAGTCTATCCCAGGTCAGGTCCCACGGCCCACCCACCCATTCCCTACCTGAAGCTGGGGGTACATCCGCACCGACAGTCCCTGTGGCACTGGGGGGTGGGGGTGGGGGCACATCTCTCCTGAGACGGGAGAGAGAGAAGAAAGACCCTGTCAGAGGCCCAGGGTGGCTTTTGAGGCTTTACCTCCGCCCGCCCCCCCAAGTCTGCTCTTTCAGCCTAGATCAGGAACCTAATCATGCCCAAACACCACCACCACCACCACCCCACCGCCCACAGCCTCACTTACACCTCCCCTTGCCTGGAGGCAGGCGGCTGGGGCTGAATCCTGGGTGCACCCTGCCAGGGAGGTTGATGTGGGGGAACAGGGAGGAAAGAGACTGGGCAGAGTGTCATAGGGCACGGCAAATAGTGATGGTGGAACACCAAAGGCTCTTCTGGCTCCTGCGCCTCCATCTCCTCCTCCACCTGGTCCTGTTGGCTGTCTGTATGGACCTGGAGGGTGCAGAGCGGAGGGGTTGGTGATGAGCGCAGGCTCGGCCCTCCCTGCCCCCACAGCCCCGCCTCCTCCACCTCCTACATTATTTTCTGCACATCGTCACCGTCGTCACCGGCGTAAAGGCTATACTGTTTGGTGAGCTGCGCTTGCGTGCAGCCAAGGCGCTTTGGAAATGCTCACCCCATTCCTCTGCTGAGTCTCTAGGAGGTGAAACGACTCCTCGTCGAAGAGAGCAATCTGCCTTTGTTCCTGCATCTCTCTGCATCCCTCAAGGAAGGGGGATGCTCACCTCAGGGCCTCAGAGGGCCTAGGGGTGTGAGCTAGCAGCCCTAATTCAAGATCTCCACCTCCCTAAACTTCCCAGCTAGCCCCTCCTTGAATCCCTCCAGGTCTCCCAGAGCCCGCTTTCCATTGGACCTTCCTGTCTCAGACCCCACACCCCTTACTCCCTCCATCCCGGGTCCAAATCCTACCTGGTCCTCAAAGGCCTGCCCTAAGGCCCCCCTGCAGTCCTCCAGGGAGTCTGTCTTCTTCCTCCCTCCCTCTCCAGGTGTGCAGTAATACCACCTCTCTGCCCATGCCTGTCACAGCCCACCTAGCCAGTCCCTTATCCATTCTTTTGTTCGACAAATAGCGGTTGAGCCCCTAAAAAGAGTTCTGCACCAGGCTCCTGGAACTTGAGGTACACAGAGGAATATCTGGAAGGAAAACCTTGGAAACAGCGTCTGGGTGGTAGTGGAGATTTGGAAACTCCATTCCTACGAGAAGCTGACACCAGGCCTTGGCACACAGTAGATGCCAAAGGGACCGAGCCGGGCAGGGTGTGGGCTGGCTTTCGGCTGCTACTCTAAGCTCGGTCTTTTTACTCCAGGTGGGGGTCCCCCACACAGAGCCCACCCTGGGCCCCACCTTCACACACCTGTGGGCTGGGCCCCTCTGGCCCCGGGTTCAGGGCGCCCGCCACCATTTGACTCAACAGCAGCTGGTGCAGCTGGGCGCTCTGCAGCATCATGAGCTCCAGCAGATCTGCGGAACAGGTTTCAGCAGGCCCACCCAGCCGGGCCGCCACACAGCCCCATCCCCTTTACAGCATTTATACAGAACGGAACAGAAAGGAGGTCCCAGGGATGTGTGGCAGCGGGGGTGTCGAGGGAGTGACCCAGGGGAGTTACCTTCCTTGACACGGCTGGGTTGAGGCAGAGGAGATGGGACAGTCCACGGAAAAGGCTGCAAGATGGTCACCCAGGGCTGGGGACATGGGTGGGGATTCAGTCCAACCAGGCAGAAGAGGGGTGAGGCATATCAGGAGCCCCCCCCCCCCCCAATGTCTGCACCTCATGGCCTCCTTCCTCCCAGTCCAGTCTCCTCCTCTTGGTTTGGGACCTCCCCCAGAGTTTACCCCCGTCCCAGCTCCGCAGTCCCCACCCCAGCGCCCATTCCAAACAGTCTGCGCTCCTGGGCTCAGGTCTCACCGTAGGGGCTGCACTCTGTGATGGGGCGCCACTCCAGCTCCCGCTCCTGGGGGAGGACATGGCTTAGCAGGAAAGTTACCTTGGTAGCTCTGGAGACGCCTGGGAAGGCTCCTCCCAAGAGTACACTGACCCGCCCAGCCCAGGATGCCCGGTGCCTGGGAAACAGCCCAAGCCTCCGCCCTAGCCTTCCTCTTCTTCCGCAGCGTGGGGTCCCTCTCTTCTGAAGATCCATCTTCAGGCCCCTGGCTGGGGTTCCCCAGACGCTGATGCTAACCCTGGGAGGACCCACGTTTCTTGAGTGAGAAGAAGCTAGGGTGCCCCGGTTCTCTGGTCCCACAGGAATAGAAGGTTTTATAGGACCGGGCATGGGTGTGTGAGGCGCGTTAGGCGGGCAGAGGAGCCGTTCACTGTCATCCTGTCGATCACTCTTAGGAGAGGGGAGTCCTAAGGACCCAGAGGTTTCCGGAGGGGGGACCAGGCAGACACTGGGCAAATTCACAGAACAGGCTGTGGCTCTGGTCCAGAATGTCGGGGGCTCTTTAAGTCTCCCCTGCGATTTGCTCAATTCCTCAAACCGCTCCCTGCGCGTGGTGGGAAGGTGGGCGGGCATTCAGTCCTCTGAGGCCCCAGCACCACGGCATTCCTCAGACAGGAAGCTAGAGAAGCGGCTGCTGCGTAACAACAGGTGAAGAGGGAGATCTATTTCCGCAGCTGTGACATCCGAAGGCAGGCCCCAGCAGCAGTCAGGACAATCCCGACAGGAAGCTGGGATTAGCACTAGAGACTCACCCTTTCCCCACTTCTGCTCCCCTTTCCGCAGTCCTGGAGTGTAGAGCCAGAAGGAACGGTCCCGGCTCCTCCTTTGTCCCTGTCTGCTGGTGATTCTGTCACTGGATTTACCAGGGTCAGAGCCTCTGCCCTCTCAGCCCTAGACAGTCACCTTCAATAAACCTATTAAAAAGGTAAATTTGCCAGGCGGTGGCAGAGCTCACCTTTAATCCCAGCATTCCCGGAGGCAGAAGCAGGCAGCTCTACAGAGTGGTTTAGGCCAGCCTGTTCTACAGAGTGAGTTCTGGGACAGTCAGGACGACACAGAGGAAGATAAAACAAATAAAATAAAATAAAATAATTAATAATAAAAATGTGGGAAAGGGAGATTCATTCACTGTGGCCACATTAGGAGAAGACAAAGGGATCCAGTGACAACCGCACCATCCCATCTGTCCTCAGGGGCCTGGCTTAAAGGTTAGGTGGAGAGAACAGAAAAATAGCCCAAGAGGGACGGCACTGTGCCCCAGAAATCAGCTAGAAGGGAGCCATTCCCACAGAGGCTGCTACTGTTCACCCCAGGCTGTAGAAGGAAGTGCCCAAGGGGAAGAGAAGTGTGGCCTTCAGGTTACTATTGCTGCGATGAAACACCATGACCAAAGCAACCTGGTGAGGAGAGGGTTTATTTGGCTTATACCTCCACATCGGTGCCTATCCCTGGCGGAAGTCAGGGCAGGAGCCTGGAGCAGGAGATGATGCAGAAGCCAGGGAGATGCTGCTGCTTATTGGCTTGCTCCCCATGGCTTGCTCAGTCTTCTTTCTTACAGAACCCATGGATGGCCCCAGCCCAAAATGGGTTGGGCTCTCCCCATCAATCACTAATTTTAAAAATTCCCCGCAGGCTTGCCCACAGCCTGCTCGTATGGGGGCATTTTCTTAACTGAGGTCCCCTCTTCTGATAACTCTAGCCTAGGTCAGGTTGACATAAGACTAGACAGCGCAAGCTGGAAGTTCGTCTATGGAGAGAAAACTCAATTGGGAACTCAGCTGCCTGCCTCAACTTCCCCAGCTGGCTTCTGCTAGGTGTTCTGTCCGATTTGATGATGTCATCTCTTCAGCACCTGTTTGTTCTTTGACTTGGCAGCCTCACCAGAGGGGACACTCTGCTCTGCCTGTGATGCTATTGGGGACTCCAGCTGGGTGCCTCGAGGGGCTTTCTCATTTCCTACTGGGTGTTTGTCAGCCCCCAGCTTGCTGAGATCGTCCCCTTTGGCTTGCTATATACATCACAAACTCGTCCAAAACTGAAATTGTGGCTCTTGTAGGTCATCCCGGGGACCATACAAAACCAGCAGGCACAGGTCAGACACGGAAAAGCAGTGGTTCTCAACCTTCCTAATGCTGCGACCCTGTAATATAGTTCCTCATGTTGTGGTGACCCCCCAACTATAAAACTGTTTTCATTGCTATTTCGGCCCTGTGAAGGGTTTGACCAGGCTCCAAAGGGGCCGTGACCCATGGGTTTAGAACCGCTTGATAAAGGCTGCGATTCCAAGGTAGAGAACGTAGGTGCCACCTTGTGAGTGATGGGGGATGATGGGCAGGTGCCAGCAGGGACGAGAGAAGGGGTGATGTGCACACCCACAATTAGGAATCATTTTGTTCCTCACATCTTTATGCCAACCCCTATCCTATACACATACATACACATTTGAGATGGGGTCTCTGGTAGGCCAGGTTGCCCTCAAATTCCAAATGTGCCCAAGGATACCCTTGAACTCCTGACCCTCCGCCTGTATTTCTCAAATGCTGGAATCACAGGTATGTCTCATATGTGGTGCTGGGCAGGGTTTCAGGAATGCAAATGTCCTATCCATCAGTTGAGTGAGAGCCACAGCCCCAACCGCCCCAATTCTAAATAGCAAAGCTTTTATGTGCGCGTGCCTCTCAGTACACTATTGCTCAGCCACAGCTTTTCTGTGTTGATGTGGAAAGATGCCAGAGTCGACTGAAAAAAAATGTGTATTGGTGTTTTGCCTGCATGCGTGTTTGTATACTACATGTGTACCTAGTGTCCCTGGAGGACAAAAGAGGGTACTGCACCCCCTGGATTAGAGTTACAGATGGTTGTGAGCTACAGTGTGGGTGTTTGGAGTTGAAGCCAGCTCTGAACCACCGAGTCATCTCTCTAGCCCCTTTGTGTTTGTTTTTAATGATTTCCTTTGGAGCCATTTGTGCTTGGATTCCTCACTATAGACTCCATCCCTGGTCAGTTCTTCTTAGAGAGAACTATGAATGATAAGATCTTTATTTTTTTTTTAATCACATGTTCAGGATGAGGAATTAGCTCCATTGGATCAATGAGGCCCTGGATTCAGTCATAGGAATATGCTTGTTTATTGTGGAGTGTGCACGCATGCATGATTGTGTGTGTGTGTGTGTGTGTGTGTGTACATTTGTGTGGCGGCAAACATACTGTGTGTGCACGTGGAGGCCAGAGGTGAACATTGGCATGTCTTCTCAAACACTTCTTCATGTACTATTTATTTTTGTTTTTCAAGATAGGATTTCTTTGTGTAGCCCTGGCTGTCCTGGAACTCACTCTGCTGACCAAGCTGGCCTCAAACTCAGAGATCCGCCTTTCTCTGTCTCCTGAGTGCTGGGATTAAAGGCATGCACCACCACCACCTGTAGGCAGAAGTTTCTGTCCCACCAGGAAGTTCCCAGATAACCTCAGGGAGACTTACTCTTTCTTATAAACGCCCGGCCTTAGCTTCAGCTTATTTTTAGCTAAACTCTTATGACCTAACCCATTTCTGTTAATCTACTGCTCTGAGACTCCTTCACCTCACGTATGCCCTTCCCCTCATGCTCACTCTGCCTCTCGCAGCGTCTCCTCAGACTCCTCCTCCTTCTTTCTCTTAGCCTGGTTCTCTCACCTAGTGTTACCCTGCCTAGCTATAGGCCAATCAGCTTTTTTTTTTCCTGTTTCAAAGTCAATCAGCTTTTTATTAACAATGAAACCAACACATCTTCACAGTGTACTGAAGGATTATTCCACAGCAACCATCTGGCCTTCACATTATTTTTAGAAGAATTTAAAAGACTTATTTATTTTTTTATGTACGTGAGTGTCTTGCTTGCATATATAGAGATGTGTGTGTGTGTGTGTGAGAGAGAGAGAGAGAGAGAGAGAGAGAGTGCTTGAGACATCAAGTCCCCTGAAAATGCACTTATGGACGGTTGTGAGTCACTGTATGGGTACTGAGGACCAAGCTCAGGTCCTCGGCAAGAGCAGGTGCACCTAACCTCTGAACCATCTCTCTAGTCCCACCTCGTTTTTTGAGACAGGGTCTCTCCCTAAACTCGCTGCTCTTTGTTTCAGCTAGCCTGGCTGAGCCCCTGGACTCCATCTGTTCCCACCTCCACCACTGAGCACACCTCCCAACGAAGCTGCCACATGGGTGCTGGGGATCTGAACTCGGGTCCTCACGTTTGCACAGCTCACTTTCCCAGCCTGTTTGTTCCCTGGGGGGCATTGTCGGGGTCCAGCCTCGACGAATTCATATATTCCAGGGTGGGGGCGTGTGGATGAGAAATGTTAGGCAGAAGAGACAGAGATACAAAAGAAATACAGTACCAGGAAGGCAGCTCAGTAAATACTGAATCTGTCTGTGTTTGTTTCCCATACCCCAGTATAAAAAGAAGGAGGGGAGGAAGAAGGCAAAAGACAACCAGAAGAGTTGTTCGCCTTGATGCTTGAGACGTCCAGCCACTATTTCCTGAGTTGAGCATTCTGATGTTTGTGGCAGATACATGTTTAGATACAATGTTTAGACAAAGACACCCTAGACCAAGTATCCTGTAGGCAACCACTCGCTGGGTCAAACCTCCTGTTTTAAAATGAAGGGGCAGGAATAGGCTTGAATTCTCTGATCTTTGGTCAAGGTTGAGTGAATCTACCTCTAGGTCCAAAACACCAAGTAACCACAGCCTAGGTCAGGACCGCTTGTTTGTAGGCACACCTGCTGTCAACAATGTTGAAAGGGCAAAAATAAGCTCAGGCCCTCTGCCCTTTAGTCGAGGCAGAACAGGACTCACGTCTGAGGGTCCCCTCAGGGCATTTCCAAGACAGTTTGTCCTCTCTGTTGCCCTAATAAACCCATTTCTAGAAATAAGTAAACACGGGGAAAGATTCATACTAAAGCATATCCTTCCTTCACAATGTTATTTTTGTTGTTGTTGTTGTTCTTTTTGTTGTTGATTCAAGACAGGGTTTCTCGATGTAGCCCTAGCTGTCCTGGAACTCACTCTGT